CTTACGTCGTCTCTCTCTCTCTCTCTCTCTCTCTCTCTCTCTCTCTCTCTCTCTCTAGGCGAATTTTTCTTTGTGATAAAATCACGATATGATTACCACACACGTAAATGATTTATCCGATTTATTCTCTGCACTTTGTGCTAAAATTTAATGAACTATGACTTCGTAATGAGAAACGCATATGGCCACATTTCGATTTATTAATCAGTTCACAAAAAATTGACGTTTATTATTTATCCAGTTTGAGACTTGTCTCGTTGAAATACCGTAGTATTTGTTTGTAGAACCGGACTTTATTTTCGTAGACCGTAAAATTGCTTTTGGGGTCGAGGGGAGGTTCGATCGCGCCACCGCGCCGTCAGGAATATCGTGGTTTCCGGTCGCTCTCATGGAAGTACGTCACCGGCTGCTGCTGTTATGCATATTGCATGCGTGGTGGCCGGCGCCTGTACAGTCGTCCTTCTGTCCACGAGTACTGGTCCGGATAACACGTGCAGGCCGTGTAATGCAGACGAGTCGCGCCGGAGGACTAGGAGGCGTGTGTCTATACGACGTGCGGATCGTTATGTATTTGTTAGAACAGCCCCGCACGTGTTCCCGCACGGGAATTTGCTCGTTTTAGGTAAACGCGCGGAGCGCGTCGTTCGGATTGAGACTTGAGATTTATCTTCGACTGCACGTTCAGATATCGATCGAACTCCGTTCGCTCGAGAGGAACATGGGGAAATGGACCCAAACGCGGGGTTAATTGAATTAAACGTTGAAGCGATTTGTTAGCTAACTAATCCTTCGTTTAAAAATTAACGATGATCATATATCGCGTATATTTTTTATGCGTATTCGCAACAAAATAGTCGCGGTTGCGCGACACAAATGTCAACAAAATTGCGGTCTGTCGCTCGCCAAACAACCGAACTCGCGTTTGGAAAATAAACGTGGAGAAACTACCTTCTTTTTTTCCCTGTCTCTCTTTCTCCATCTCGCTGAATTGCGTGCCATTAGCGCGGCGCAAGGCATTCCGGGATATAGTTCAAAACGATTTATATCCCCTCGAAGTAATCCCCCGTTTTATCTCGGATATCTCGGATATCGATAATGATGTTGCTCCGAAGCAGACAAACGATCGACTGCCGCGCCGATTGGCCGACGTTACGCCGCGGTAATCGCTTTTGGACGACCCGACCTGTTTATCCAGATAAGTAATCGCCGATGTCTCGTTCGAGCGATTCGCCATTTTCTTCCCCGACACCTCGGCTCTCGTTTCCTTCTTTCTCTCCCGTCGATCGATTTACCGCCACGCCGCTTTGAATTCAAAACGCATCTCGTCGCGTGCACGTGTCGTCGCGGGCCGCGAGATATATGGAGTGATCATAAATTCACCCCCCCCCCCCCGCGAAACAGCATCGGACTTCGCGAGCTGATATCTACATTGCCAAGTGTTGCACGATGCGGACATTATTTCGCGGAAGATTCACGCTGCTTTATACGGCAATAACGCCACCAGCGAAGATGGAACATTCAATTTTTATCACACGCGCGGATTTCACGCGTCAAATATTCCGCGTTGTATAAAATCAGAGCGCGCCGTTGTACATTTCTCGCTGTGAATATGTTAGCGACTTCTCGTGTAGCTTTTGTGCGTGTGTAGCCAATGTTATATTATACAATTTACATAAATATGTACGGTATAATCGTGCTACAAGTTAGGAAAAGGGTCAGGATAGTTTTGGAGGACGGTGTTGGACAGTGCTGGTTTCTAATCTTCCTTGATTTTCTCACTGAACTATGGCATTTGCTTGGTCACCTTTGCTTTCTTTATGAGGCACGTTTATGGGGGGGGGGGGGGCGACTACTATATTGAATTAAGTGATATACGATGCCGCCCGCGTATGGGTGATACTAACGTTTATTGTTCTTATGATTTTCTCTTCTCATAGTTGATTTTATCGCTTTAGACGTCAAATTGAAAAATTGTGCAACAGAAAAAAAACTATAATGAGGGCGTATATATATAATATTTTTCTCTTTTTTACAGAAAATAAGATTTGATAAAGAAGAGATTGTTAGATATTAGCCATCAATTTTTGTTTGACATATCAGAATTCAAAATTCTCTCTCGGCTGCATATTTACATCTTATTTTATACGTGTATTGGTTTTAAATAAACGTTGTTGAGGAAAGTTTACTTTTTTCAATTTGAATGTTTAATTAAAAGATAAGAGAATCTTCTCTGTTTTGCAACGAACACTTCGCAACGCCTATACGTAACCGCGTTACGAAAAGTTGAAAAATATCGCAGCCCAGACGTAATGCGATATTATCATTTTTTTAAATATTCTATCGTGCTACCGTGTAAACACCGTTTACGTGAATTCTGTGCAACGCCGCACCAGAAATAAAGACGCACGTTTGAATAAAGTTCCTGTCGATTGGTCAGTTAAGCTCCGGAGAACGGAGTTTTTACAGATTTGCTCGAGGAGCCTTCGATATTTCTCCCAACTTTTTCACGTTTATTTTTTTTTCTCCATTTTAATCTCGTTTACGTTTATCTCGCGGTTTAGCTGGCGAACGGCCAAACGTTACGGAGGTAGCCGGTTCATTAAAATTTTTGCAAAACTTATCGTGAGCGATAAACTATTTTCAATAAAAAAAATACATATTTTTGAAAATATCAAAAATAAATTAAATTTTGCATCGGATAGTATTATTAAGCTATTATTAAGATAACAATAATGTAATACATTACAGACGCGTTTATTTCGTTATCTCGTCACATACTCTGTCACCGGTGCGCCGAGTTGATCCAACAAGTATTCGAGTTTGTCAGACGAAATATGCCTGCGCATCGAGCGAGCCAAATACAATAGGGATTAATTCAAAGGAAATATCTGCCGCGATCGTGCGGTAATCCGGCATGATGGTTTTCGGGTATACCATCGTGGCGTGTAATGAACTGCAACGGTATGATAGATAAGGTCGCTCGCACACGCGCGCGCGCGCGCGCCGCCCCGCCCCCCCCCCACGACACCACACACACAACAAACAAAATACGTAAGGTACTGTATTCGTCGCCGTACACGTTTGCGGTCACGTCGCATGCGTTCAGTTTATTTCCGTTCGGTTTACGAAGCGCGAAAAACGTCACTGACAAGAGCAACTTTCGTCGTTTTCGCTATATTAAATTTTAATCGTCGGTCCTCTCGCCGCATCTTTTCTGTGCGAAAACTCACAATGTATCCGTGACGCGGAACATATAACGATAACTAAAATTACATATAAAAGTATATAAAAATGTTTTTTA